GCAAGGCTATGGGCTTCTGAAAAGAACAGGGGAAATCTGCTTAGGGAATTTGAAATAACTAAAAAGTAAACACACGCAATCCCAAAGAAGACACGTACTCAGAAAAGGGTCAACAGGTCCTGGACTCTCTAGCTGGGCCTATTGGTGAAAGTCTGCCTCTTCACTAAACCAGTCCATAAATAGGGATGGGTGCTTGGTTTTCTTTTTCACTCAAGTCTCAAGAATAATAACAACAACAACAACAAAATCACAAGGCATAGCATAACAATAACAAACCAAAACAAACAGGAAAACCAGACCCTATCAAAGGAAAAAAATAAAACTCCAGAAACTGACCTGAAAGAAATGCAGATCTATGAGCTGCCTGACAAAAAATTCAAAATAAAAGTCAGAAAATCATCAATGAGTAAACACAGATGAACAAGGTGCAATCAGGAAAACAATACAAGAACATGATGAGAATAACAACAAAGACACAGAAACTATCAACAAGAACCAAACATAAATTCTGCAAGTATAAAATACAATAACCAAACTGAAAAACGTGCTAGAGAAGTTCAAAAGCAGATTTGATGAGGCAGAAGGGTGCAGCAAAGTGAAAAATGGGCCATTTAAAATCAAGTCAGAGCAGCCAACATTTAAAAGGAATGAAGGAAAGTAGAGAGAGCCCAAGGTACTTATGGGAGACTAGAAAGTGGGTTAACATATACATTATGGGATTTTCCAAGACGGAGAAGAGTGAGAAAAGGGGCAGAGAGCTTATTGAAAGAAATAATAACCAAAACTTCCCAAATATTAGGGAAAACAAGAAGCTCAAAGAACTTCAACCAGAATAAATCTAAAGAGACCCACACTGACTCATACTATGATTAGAGTGCCAGAAATCTAAGAAAAAGAATCTTTAAAGCAGCAAAGGAAAAACAATTCATCACACACAAGAGAGCTTTCAGGTAACTATCTGCAGATGTCTCAACAGCAACCCTGCAGGCTAGAAAGGAGCAGAATGATATATTCAAAATGCTGGCAGAAAAAAGCTATCAATCAAGAAAACCGTCCTTCAAAAATGAAACAGAAATTAAGATATTCCTGGTAAATTAAAGCTGAGGAAGTTCATTCTTACTTGACCTGCTCTGCAAGATATGCTAGAGGGAGTCCTTCAAGGTGAAAGAAAAAACAGTAGACAGTAATCTAAAAATATAAATTTCTCCAATAAAGGTGAATACATAGAAAAATATAGTACTATGTAGTAATGTCATTTTGGTGCTTAAATTCACTTTTAATTCTTGTACGAAATTTAAATGAAAACACACAAAAATTAAGTGTAAAGCCATTTCAGTGGCTATATAACATACAGTATGCAAATAAATATGTATTTGGTGATATTAAAAACTTAAAGTGAGAAGGGTGAAGCTATTTAGTTGTGAAGTTTTGTGTATAGTTGAAGTTAAAGAGTTCTTGGTTTGAAACAGAATGTCATTACATCTTACATGATTACAATGGTGACTGCAAAGAAAAATTATCTCTGGATATTTTCATGTATATGTATAGATCAACAGGAGACAAATAAGGAAATTAAAGGCTCGAACAGCACGATAGTGAAACTAGAACTAAAAGACATACACAGATTACTCCACCCAACAAAAGTAGAATATACCTTTTTCAGTTGCACATGGAACTTTCTCCAGGATAGGCCATATGTTAGGCCACAAAACAAATTTCAGCACATTTTAAATATTGAAAGTACATAACATTTTCTCTAGGAACAATGGAATAAAACTAGAAATCAATAGCAGAAGGAAAACCAGAAAATCCACAATCACATGGAAAATAAACAGCACACTCTTAACCAGTGAGGCAGAGGAGTCACAAGACAAATACCTTGAGACAAATGAAAGTGAAAACACAACATACCGAAACTTACGCATGCAGCAAAAGCAGTGCTGAGGCAGAAGTTTATAACCATAAACACGTGCATTTAAAAAGCAGAAAGATCTCAAATTAACGACCTGCCAATGAAAAAAGGCAAATGTTGTAAAATACATGCGGAGGTTTATTCTGAGCCAAATATGAGTGACCATGAGATCGTGTGCACAGGTGATTGGATTACAACCGAGTTTCCTATGTCTCAGGGGAACAGAAGTCACAGGCAAATACATAAATCAGTGATGAGCCCCTTTTCACATGCTATTAGCCATTGGTATATCTTCTTTGGGAAATGCCTATTTAAATCCCCTGCAAAGGTTGTAATTGGATTCCGTGTTTGAGTACTAGGAACTCCTTCTATGTCTGAATGCAAGTTCGTTACCAAACATGCAATTTGAAAGTAGTTTTCCCCATTCTGTTGGTGTCATTTCATTTTCTTGATAGTGCTCTTAGAAGCAGGAAAAGGATTAGTTTTGATGGAGTTAGTTAATCTAGTTTTTCCTTTTTTTTTCTTGTGCTTTCAGTGTCATTCTCGAAGAACCATTTCATACTCCAAGGTCGTAAAGACTTAATCTGCTTTTCTTCTAACAGTCCTCTTGTTTGATTTTTGCAATTAGGTCATTGAGTTATTTGTTTGTTTGTTTTTCATTTGTTTGGTGTATGGTATTGTAAGGCCGGTTGCCTCGCCGGGAGGTCGGACACACCCACGTCTGCACCCAGCACCAGGCTCTGCACTCGGCACCTAGCTCTGCCCCATGGCTCTTCCAGAAGGCTCCAGCTGATGCAAGGCTCCTGGCTGGCTCTCCCACAGGAAGACCCGCCCAACAACCGGCCAACCAATAGCGGCCCGCCCCGTCTCAATCCCGCACCCCTGGAGTCAATCAGAGCACCCAGCTGTTGCTCCTTCCTCCTAGCCATAAAAACCCCATGCCCCAGGAAGTTGGTGCAACTTCCCTGGCCCCCTTTCCCCGGGACCATGGAACCTCACCCGTGAGTTGAATAAATTGGCTTTTAATTTTCTTATACTGGTCTCAGTTTCCTCATTCTAAACTCAGCAATAACCCTTACAGGTATGAGGTGAAGATCCAAATTCATTCTTTTGCATGTGAACATCCAATTGTCTCAGCAGCATTGTTTGCTGAAACAGTTCCTGTTTTCTCATGAAATTGTTTCGTACTCTTGTTGAAAATCCATTGACCACAATTCTGACTCTGCAGTCTGGAATCTACTCCACTCATCCATCTTTCTATCCTTAGACAGGCACCATCAGCCTTCATTACTGTTTGCCTTGTAGCCCATTTAAAATTGGAAAACGTTGAGTCCTCAACTTTGCTTTACCTTTTTCAAGGTTGTTTTAGCACTTTAAGGTCTCTTGAATGTTGACATAAATGTTGGAATCAGCTTGTCAATTTTTTCAAAAAGAAACCTGGGATGTGGATAGGAATGTCATTGAATTCATAGGTCAGTGTTTTTCTGGAGTGTTTTGACCTTCACAATATTAGATCTTCCAGTACGTGAACATGGGAATTCCCGCATTTACTTTGGTCCAGTTATGTTTTGTCTTGTTAAGGGTCCAAGCCTTGCCCTGCTTCGGTTGCATTTGTTCCTAAAAATCATGTTATTTTTGATGGAATTGTTTCCTTACATCCTGTTTGGATTGTTGATGGCTGGTTAAAGAAACGCAGCTGACTTTGTGAATGGGCCTTGTGGCCTGCACTCTGTTGAGCTCATTTATTGGGCCTAATAGCTGTTGTTGTTGTGTGTGTGTGTGTGTGTGTGTGTGTGTGTGTGTGTGTGTGTGTCTCCCTTAGGACACTCTACATATAAGACTAGGTTTTGTGTAAATAGAGAAAGCTTTGCCTCGCTTCCTTTTTTTTTTTTTTTTTTTTTTTAACCTGGATGTCTTTTATTTCTTTTCCCCATCATATTACTCTGGCTAGAGCTTCAGTGAAATGTTGTATAGAAGTGTCGCATGTGGACACCCTTTCCTTGCTCCTGATCTTAGGAGTAAACATTCAGGTCTTCACCATTAAGTGTGTTGTTTGTTGTGGGTACATGTCCTCTATCAGGCTGAGAATAGTCTCTTCTGTTCCTCCCTGTGCCACACCAAAGCTGTGCAGCCTGTGAATCGTCAGAGGGCACCTGAACTCCTTCTCACCAAGCCAAGAGATGGAGGGTGCACCTCAGCCTGTGCTCGACCACAATGTCTTGGGTCCCTGGAGCAGCACAGTTTCCAGTGCTGTCCTACAGAGCATCTCGGGGACACAGATCATGGTGGTCTCGCTTCCCCATCTCCCGGCTTGACCCCCACCTGAGCCTGGCTGGGCACAGAGACCACCCATTACACCCTTCCTAGACACTGAGGGCAAAGATCTCCTTGTCCCGTAAACATAGCCTCCAATGGGGAAGAACTAGGAGTCCATGATTCCAACCAAGACAGACTGAACCCCATTGAGACGAGCTGCGGCTCCCTGTGTACTAATGAGACATACTCACTCATTCACTCATTCATTCACTCATCCTCATTCATTCATCCAGAACACTAGTCATTCCTTCATTTACCAGTGTAACAACTGTTTCTGGAATGGGATCTGGGCCTGGCAGACACTCACCGCAGTGGGAGGAATAAACTATCAGAAAGGGAGAGGAAGGACACGTGGCCAGTCTGCCAATGAGACAGAGGCTGGAAGAAAAGAGTCACTGAGACGGAGGATGAGGAGGGGAGAGTTTATTTAGTGCTGTGCCCAGATCCATTTTGGATTTCCATAGATACACGTGATCATTCGGGTTACAGGACATCCATCTGCAAATGCCATGGAACTCCTGGCAGACACAGGAAAGAAAAGTTTGCTCTCTCAATGTGGAATCAGCAGGAAGGGGAATTCCAGGTGCCTCCTTGACATGAGGGCCATGTCCAGGTGCAGTCCGGCTCAGACATATGGGGGCATGTGGGAAGGAGGGGCAAGAGTGCCAGTGGCATGTGGTACCCTTATCCTATAGAGAACAGGGAGGGAGGGTTACATCCCATTTCCTCAAGGGTTGGAAAAAGAAGCCCTGAGCTAGGGGACAGGTTGTTCATATCTGAAAGAGAATATGCATGAGGGGTAGTCACTTGTTGGGAAGAACAGATCTTCAGGAGCTACCTGAGAATTCCTGCTAGAGCCTCAGATCTTGCACTGGCAGCACATGGGGACACAGCAGCTGGACTGGGAGCAGCAGGGTTTGCAGCAGCTGGACTGACAGCAGGATGACCCACAGCCTGAGGAGCAGCAGGGCTTACAGCAGCTGGACTGGCAGCAGGATGACCCACAGCCTGAGGAGCAGCAGGGCTTACAGCAGCTGGACTGGCAGCAGGAGGACCCACAGCCTGAGGAGCAGCAGGGCTTGCAGCAGCTGGACTGGCAGCAGGAGGACCCACAGCCTGAGGAACAGCAGGGCTTGCAGCAACTGGACTGGCAGCAGGAGGACCCACAGCCTGAGGAGCAGCAGGGCTTACAGCAGCTGGACTGGCAGCAGGAGGACCCACAGCCTGAGGAGCAGCAGGGCTTGCAGCAGCTGGACTGGCAGCAGGAGGACCCACAGCCTGAGGAGCAGCAGGGCTTGCAGCAGCTGGACTGGGAGCAGCCACAAGAACCACAGCCTCCCTTAGAGCCCCCACAGGAGCCACAGCCACAGCCTCCCTTAGAGCTTCTGCAGGAGCCACAGCCCCCCTTAGTGCCTCCACAGGAGCCACAGCTAGAGCAGGAACAGGCTGGCACACAGCAGCACACAGGCTTGCAGCAGCAGACGGGCACACAGCAGCTGGAGCCACAGCGCCCACAGCTGGAACCACAGCCCCCACAGCCGGAGCCACAGCCCCCAGAGCAACCACAGCAGCCCATGTTTCTGGTGGATTGAGGGTGAGCAGACAGAGGAGCAGGTGAGAGGGAGGTGCAGGTGTGGAGTCCACTGTGCCCGGGCTCTTTATATACCTGTCCAGGAGTCAGGTGGGCCACAGCGGCCCTTCCTAGTTCCTGCTAAAATACTTTCCCCAGGAATCTTTTGTGTCTCTTGTGTCATTTAAAATGACAACAATACCGTGTTGCCTTGTGACCCACTTCCTCCTCGTACAGAGTTTTCCTGTCTAATCCCTGAGGGCCCAAGTCCACCCCTCTTAGGACCCCCAGGAATGAGTAGAGCCTGGTCTATTTCTTCCCCTTTCCTTGGACCCCAGGCTTCTGTCACCGTTTTCTCTTCCCTTCAGGGCACTGCTGTCACTGGCTCGTGCTCCTGGGAGTTGCCTTTACTCTCCTCCTCCTCTCTGCCCCTGCTTACTGCAACTCTGATCTTTCTCTCAATCCTCCCTAAAGGCGTGGAAAGTCTGGGGCTCCTCCCAGCTCTCCTTCCTCTCCAGCTTTCTTGGTTGACCACTGGATGCCTTGTGGGGAGGTCCTCAGCTCATCTGCCCCGCTCCTGTCCAGAGGGCAGCACCTGCCTTCAACCCTGGGCAGGAGCTTGAAGCCCTCCCGGGGCTCTGGCCCACAGCCTGTCCTGCCCCAGATTGAGGCTCTTTCTGCTGAAACCCTCAAAACAGAGCCTTGGGGAGGAGGTGACAGGTGGTTGTGGACCAGAAATCTGGGCATCTGGGGGTGTTCTCTGAGGTGGCAGCCCTCGGGTATGGCTTTGCTTTTCCTCCCATGTCCAGCAGGCCCCTCCCTCCCTGGGAGGCTCAGCTCTCTCGGGAGCTGATCCTTTGGAGTTTCCCTATGCCCTTGCCTCTGGTGGGTTGTAAGACTATCTGTGCCTTCGTGGATGCTTCTGGGTTTATCTGGTTCATTTTAATTGAAGTGATGAGAGCAATGGTCTCTGGTGACTTTCTGTGTCGGAATCAGAATGGAAACTCCATGGTTTCACACACACGTGTGTGCACAGACACACACACTTACACACACTGGAAATTGTATTACAGAAGAGAAAAGGTACACACACATCTCTTAGGAAGCCACACCTCTCACAGTCGAGATATTTCGTGAACACAGCAGGTTACCAACCTGCCACATACCCGGAGTGTAGCTGAGAAGGGCCCCTTTGGAGGTGATTATCTGGGGTGGGAGCTGCTTCTCGCTGTTCATTCAGTTACCTTGACGCTTCTGACCAGCCTAATGACGTAGCTCATTAAAGAGAAATTGATTCTTAAAATGTTTGTGTATAATGAGAATTATAAAACACTGCTCAAAGAATTCAGAGATGACACAAACAAATGGAAAAACATTCCATGTTTATGAATGGGAAGAATCAATATTCTTCAAATGGCCATACCACCCAAAGCAATTTGTAGATGCCATGCTAGCCCTATCAAACTATAATTGACATTCTTCACAGAACTTGAAAAAGCTATTTTAAAATTCACATGGAAGCAAAAAAGAGCCTGAGTAGCCAAAGCAACAGTAAGTAGAAAGAATGAAGCTGGAGGTATCATGCTACCTGACTTCAAACTATACTGCAGGGCTACAGTAACCAAAACAGCGTGGTACTGGTACAAAAACAGGCACATAGACCAATAGAACACAACAGAGAGCCAGGAAATAAGGCCACACACTTATGACCATCTGAACTTCCACAAAACTAAGAAAAACAAGCAATAGGAAAAAACTTCCTAATCAATAAATGGCACTGGGATAACTGGGTAGCCGTAAGCATATGCAGAAGATTCAAACTAGACCCCTTCCTTACACCGTACATAAAAATCAACTCAAGATGAATTAAATACTTAAATATAAAAGCCAAAACTATAAAATACCTGGGATACAGCCACAGAAATGCCATTCTGATCCTGGACATAGGAACAGGCAAATATTTCATAATGAAGACACCAATGAAGACATATTTATTTTATTTTATTTTATTTTATTTTATTTTATTTTATTTGCAACAAAAGTAAAAATTGACAAGAGGTACCTGATTAAACTAAACAGCTTCTGCACAGCAAAAGAAACTATCAACAGAGTAAACAGACAATCTACAGAATGGGAGAAAGTATTTGTAAACTATGCCCCTGACAAATGTCTAATACTCCATATCTATAAAGAACTGAAACAAATTCCTAAGAGTAAAACAAACAACCCCATTACCAAGTGAGCAAAGGACCTGAACAGACACTTGAAAAGAAGACACAGGTACAGCCAACAAGCATATGAAAAACAAGCTCAACACAACTATGAAGCCCAAGAAACGAGCTCAACAGAGTGCAGGGCACGAGGCCCATTCACAAAGTCACTGCAGCGTTATTGACAATAGCAAAGACATGGAATCAACGTCAACGCCCATCAGTGACAGATGGGATAAAGAAAACGTGGTGCACATACACCATGGAATACTCTGCAGCCACGAAAAAGAGCCAGATCATGTCATTTACAAGGACATGGACAGAGTTAGTGGCTATCTATGACCATCAGCCTTGCAAACTAACGCAGGAACAGAAAACCAAATACAGCACTTTCTGACTTCTAAGTGTGAGCTAAATGATGAGAACACATGGACAGGCAGAGAGGAACAGCACACACTGGGGTCTACCTGACGGTGGGGGTGGGAGGAAGGAGAGGAGCAGACGAAATAACTGTTGGGTACTTGACTGAGTAATTGGATCATGAGACAATCTGTACAGCAAACCCCGGTCACACGAGTTGACTTATGTAGCAAACCTGTGTGTGTACCCATGACCCTAAAATGTAAGTTTAAAAAATTATTAAAAGATAATTAAACATATGTCTAAAATGTCTGTGTGTGCATTAAAGTGTTGTTTAGATACAAATGAATACAGCTTTGCTAAACCGGAAGACACGTACGCCCGCATGACCCAGACGGCAACAGAGAGAGAAGGAGACAGAATCTCTCGTGGGGTGAGGACCCGTGACAGTGGATGTGGCTTCACGGAGAGTTTCAGGAGACAACGGGGACACTGGAGAGCAGGGGAAGGAAGAACGGACCTCTCACGCTCACGACTAGGTGGCAGACACCCCGACTCAACATGGACAAACCCGGCCAGGCACGAGGGCTCACACCTGCAATCCCAGCTGAGGTGAGAGGATCGCTTGAGCCAGGAGGCGGAGGTTGCAGGGAGCCAACACCCGCCACTGCACGCCAGCCTGGGTGACGGAGCAAGACCCTGTGTCAAAAAACAAAATGAAATGGTCAAAGTATTTGAACAGACATTGTCCTAAAGAGAATATGTGCGTGGGCACCACCGCGTGAAAAGACACTCACCGTCCCCGGTCGTTACCAAAATGAAAAATTAAACAAGGCATCCGTGTCCCCCCGCTACAACAGCTGCAACCCAGAGGACGCGGATGGCAAACGCTGGCAGGGACGTGGAGAAACGGAGAGACGCAAACCCTCACGCGTCGCTGGCGAGTAACGCTCCATCCAATCTGCAGAATGGTTGTGCGGTTTCTTGAAAAGTTAAATGTAAATCTACCATGTGGCCCATCGTTTCACTCCTGGCATCTGCCCAGGAGAAGTGAACGCCTACGACCCCACAGGGATCTGGACACCCGTGTTCACAGCAGCAGATTCACAGAGGCCAGACAGGGGAGGGGTCGCCAGTGTCCGCCAGCTGCTGACCGATGGACACGAGGGCCCGCTGTCAGCGAAGAAAGAACAAAACACTGATAATGTCACAACACGGACGGAACGCAGACAAGTGATCCCCAGTGAAAGACGCCTGGCACGAAAGATCCATGTTACACGATTCCACCAACAGACTGCCTTCGAGAAGGCAGACCTAGGAAACTGTTCGAATTTTCTCTTCTGTAACGACCAGGGATGTTGAGATCTTTTCACACGGCAGTACCCGCTAATACATCCCCCTTGGAAAAACGATCCCAACGTTCTGTGCACTTTACATTGGGGTCTTTGTCGTCTAACCGTTGAGTTTGGAAGGCCTGTTCTCCCTTCTCCTGCCCGCCAGAGTCGCTGTCGTTTCATTCTGGAAGTCTCACTGGAGCTACACCGACGTCCCGGCAATCCCCCCTAGATTCCATGTCCTCTCTCTGTCGCCTGTGGAGTCATGTCCACATATGTATCCTCCTGTTTACACATCTGCATTCATTTCTAGCATGTGTGTATTTGCTTCTAAACAGCACATTGAAAAACAGACATTTTAAAAATCAATTTCTTTAATGAGCTATGTCATTAGGCTAGTGAGAATAGTCAAGGTAACAGAATGATCACCGAGAAGCAGCTCCCACCTCTGAGAATCATCTCCAAAGGGCCCCTTCTCGTCTATGCTCCGTATCCACTGCGGGTTGGTGACCAGCCGTGTTCGCAGAACATCGCGAATTTGAGAGGCGCTGTTTCCATCGACATGTGCGTGTTCCTTTCCCTTTGGTAATACAATTTCCAGTGTGTGTGTGAGTGTGTATGCATATGTGACAGAGGGTGTGTCTATGTGACCGTGTGTGTGTGCACCTGTGTGCATGTGACAACGGAGGTTCCTTTCACTTCGATTCAAACACACAAAGTCACTGGGGACCATTGCCCTCATCACATGAATTAAAATGAGCCAGATAAACCCCCAAAACAGCCATGAAGGCACAGATAGTTTTACAACCCACCGGAGGCAAAGACACAGACTCCAAGGAATGAGCTCAGGAGAGAGCTGAGCCCTCCCAGAGAGGAGAGGCTCTGGCTGCTGCCAAGGTCTGCTGGGATGGGGAGGGGCCGACTGCACAGAGGCAGGGAGGGGCCTGCTGGACGTGGGAGGAAAAGCGAAGCCATGCCCGAGGGCTGCCACCTCAGACAAGATTCCCCGATGCCCGGATTCCTGGCCCACGACCACCCGCCACCTTCTCCTCAAGACTCTGTTTTGAGGGTTTTGGCAGGAAGTGCCTAAATCTGGGGCAGAGCAGGCAGTGGGGCCAGAGTCCCAGGAGGGCATGAGGCTCCTGCCCGGGGTCAGAGGCAGGTGCTGCCCTCTGGAGATGAGCGGGGCAGGAGAGCTGAGGACCTCCCCACAAGGCATCCAGTGGTCAACCAAGAAAGCTGGAGCGGAAGGAGCGCTGGGAGGAGCCCAGACCTTCCACGCCTTTACGGAGGATTGAAAGTTCAGAGTCGCAGGGATCATGAGCAGAGAGGAGGGGAGAAAAGGGAACTCCCAGTGCCCGTTCACCTGGCAGAGGGGCCAGGGTACAGCCCTGGGGGGCACAGCCCGAAGGGCAGAGGAAGCAGGAACAGTCTCGGAGCTCACAGGCTGCCAAAGCCTGGGGAACTGGGCTCTCCAGAACCCCAGGAGGGCAGACACTGTCTAGAAGCGTCCTGCCCCTAGACCTGAGATAGGAATGAAACCCTCCCTGCCTGTTCCCTGTGAGATAAGGGTACCTCATGTCACTGGCACTCTTGTCCCTCCTTCCCATGTGCCCCCATATGTCTGGGCCAGACTGCACCTGACAGAGAACGAGGTCTCAAGGAGGCTGCATTTCACTCCAGAGCCAGGAGACCCAGAGCGCCAGCATGGCTAGAAACGCAAGACAAAGACGCCATTCACAAAAACTGAAGGCGGATCCTCTGGAACAGTGGCAGGAGGCTGGGGTCCGAGGGCAGGGGCAGGAACCGGGGAGGCTCCACCCATTCCAGGGGTCCTCAGTGGGGAGGGCCTGGGCCCTGGGTCCAGAGGAAAACAACACAGGAGGAGGAAGTGGGTCATGAGGCAGCAGTGTTTTTATTGTAAATGACACACGAGTTTCCTACAGAGAAAACATCAGTAAGAACCAGGAAATGTCCCTGTGGCCCATCTGAGCCCTGGACAGGTATATAAAGAGCCCGGGCTTGGGGGGCTCCACACCTGCCCCTCCCTCTCACCTGCTCCTCTACCTGCTCCACCCTCAACCCACCAGAAACATGGGCTGCTGTGGCTGCTCTGGAGGCTGTGGCTCCGGCTGTGGAGGCTGTGGCTCCGGCTGTGGGGGCTGTAGGCTCTGGCTGTGGGGGCTGTGGCTCCGGCTGTGGGGGCTGTGGCTCCAGCTGCTGCGTGCCCGTCTGCTGCTGCAAGCCCGTGTGCTGCTGTGTGCCAGCCTGTTCCTGCTCCAGCTGTGGCTCCTGTGGGGGTTGCAAGGGAGGCTGTGGCTGTGGCTCTTGTGGAGGCTCAAAAGGAGGCTGTGGCTCTTGTGGCTGCTGCCAGTCCAGCTGCTGTAAGCCCTGCTGTTCCTCAGGCTGTGGGTCATCCTGCTGCCAGTCCAGCTGCTGTAAGCCCTGCTGCTGCCAGTCCAGCTGCTGTAAGCCCTGCTGTTCCTCAGGCTGTGGGTCATCCTGCTGCCAGTCCAGCTGCTGTAAGCCCTGCTGTTCCTCAGGCTGTGGGTCATCCTGCTGCCAGTCCAGCTGCTGTAAGCCCTGCTGCTGCCAGTCCAGCTGCTGTAAGCCCTGCTGCTCCTCAGGCTGTGGGTCATCCTGCTGTCAGTCCAGCTGCTGCAAGCCCTGCTGCTCCCAGTCCAGCTGCTGTGTCCCCGTGTGCTGCCAGTGCAAGATCTGAGGCTCTAGTGGGATCTCTCAGGTAGCTCCTGAAGATCTGTGCTTCCCAACAAGTAACTACCCCTGACGCATATCCTCTTCCAGACCCGAACAAGAACTCCCCTGGCTCAGGGCTTCTTTTTCCAGCCCTTGAGGAAATGGAATGAAACCCTCCCTGCCTGTTCCCTGTAAGATAAGGGTACCCCATGTCACTGGCACTCTTGCCCCTTCTTCCCACATGCCCCCATATGTCTGAGCCAGACTGCACCTGAACAGGGCCCTCATGTCAAGGAGGCACCTGGAATTCCCCTCCCTAATTCCATTGGAGAGAGCAGACCTTTCTTTCCTGCGTCTGCCAGGAGTTCCATGGCATTTGCAGATGGATGTCCTGTAACCTGAATGATCACGTGTATCTATGAAAATCCAAAATGGATCTGGATGCAGCACTAAATAAACTCTCCCCCTCTCAGCCTCGGTCTCACTGACTCTTTTCTTCCAGCCTCCGTCTCATTGGCAAACTGGCCACATGTCCTTCCCCTTCCTCCCTGATAGCTTATTCCTCCCACAGCTATAACCACGAACTAATAATAAGGTAAGAACACGATTGGTGAGGAGCAGGCATTTGCTGAAACTTTTGGGATGAAATCATCTGGGTGGACACAGGTGAGACAAAAACATGGAATCCCCAAATTTCCCTGAACTCTAAGCAGTCTGTCCCGCCCCTTTGCAGTCAACCTCTCACACCCACAGCCAAGGTGGTCCCATCCCCTTTAGAAAGACCCCTTTCAGTGACTTCACCTGAAGCAGCCACCACTCAAAAAATCAGCTGGGCATGGTGGCATGTGCCTGTAATCCCAGCTATTCAGGAGGCTGAGGCAGGAGAATTGTCTGAACCCAGGAGGCGGAGGTTGCGGTGAGCCAAGATCGCGCCATTGGACTGCAGCCTGGGTAACAAGAACAAAACTCCATCTCAAAAAAAAAAAAAAAAAAAAAAAAAAGAATCCCCATCATCCCCAGGCCCATGACAGAGGTGGCTCCCAGAACAGCACAAACAGAAGCAGGCGAGCTTGTCTGGCAGGGGACAGCCTACATAGCAGCACAGGCACCAGATGCCACCCACCTCATTGTCCAGAGTGTGGGAAGCGGAAACAGGAGAGGATGAGAAAGGAGAGAAAGTCCAGCTAAGTGTATCTATTCCAGTGCACTCACCAGGGTTAGGGTTTCAGCCCCAACCTGGGCTTTGTGTCAGATAATATTGCTGGGGTGTTGGTCGTTTTGGGGTTCTGACGATGAGGAGGGAAAACTGGAGAATTAATTTCATTTTGGTTCAGTGGGATACATTTATGGGATTCAGAGTCGCTTCCAACTGTAGTCCAATGATTTCTTATCTTTTAGAGGATAAATGACTTCCAGGAATATTCCTACCATCCACTGTGAAAACTTGCCCAAGTATGGTGACACAAGGATGAATGGCCAGATTGTGTCGTGATACCACGCATCCTCCAGTGGCTGCATGTGGGCAGCAGAGAAGAACAAGCGTTTGACAGGTAGAGGCAGAGCTAGCTTTCAGAAATGTCTTCCAAATATTATAGCTCAGGTAGGAAAGCAATTTGATGACATCCCCCAAATTTGATAATCCTAAAAATTAACAGTTATTGAGAGTGAGCTATGAAACTAAAAGGAACCTTTCTAAATTATTGATAATACAAATTTGATAGGGAGGAGTGCTAGAAGAAATAATGAATTCTCCCTACCGTGTCCCCACTATTAGCGGTTGTAGGAAATACTAGCTGACACCAAGAAGAAAGGAAGAGCTTGGTTGCCCTAAAACCTCTCTGGGCTAAACCCATGAGTATGGCAGGCAGCAAAGAAGGGGCTGCAGAAGCACCCTGGGAAGAAGCAGGGCTGCTCTGCCAAGGCGTGAGGAACTTGCAAGGCCCTGGGGATTCCCACAAAGACTCGGGTGGGACAGACACTCTATTCAACAAGTAATGCTGGGATAATTGGCAAGTCACATGTAGAGAATGAAACTGAATCCTCATCCCTCACCTTACAGAAAAATCAACTCAAATGGATGAAGGTCTTAAATCTAAGACCTGAGACTATACAATTTCTAGAAAATAACATTGAAATAACCCTTTTTGACATTGGCTTAGACAAGGGTTTCATGACCAAGAACCCGAGAGCAAAAAACAAAGATAAATAGCTGGAACTTAATTCAACAAAAGAGCTTTTGCACACCAAAAGGAAGTCAGCAGAGTAAACAAGCAACCCACGGACAGGAAGAAAATCTTCCTAATCTGTGCATCTGAGAAAGGACTAATATCCAAAATCTACAACAAACTCAAACAAATTAGCAAGAAAAAAAAAAACAATCTCGTTAAAAGGTGGGCTGCGGACATGAGTAGACAATTCTCCAAAGAAGATGTACAAATGGCCAACAAACATATCGAGAAAATGCTCAAAATTACTCATGATCGGGGAACGACAAGTCAAAACCACAAGGCAATAAGTACCCCCTTACTCCTGCAGGAATGGCCATAATTTAAAAATCAAAAAATAACAGATGTTGCCGTGGATATAATGAACAGGGAACACTTCTACACTGCCGGTAAACCAGCACAAACATATGATAAACAGTGGGGTGATTCCTTAAAAAACTAAAGGTAGTGCTACCATTTGATCCAGCAATCCCACTACTGGGTATCTATCCAGAGGAAAAGTAGTCATTCTACAAAAACAACACTTACACACACATGTTTATAGCAGCACAATTTGCAATTGCAAAAATGTGGAGTCAACACAAATGCCTATCAATCAGTAAGTAGATAAAGAAACTGTGGTATATATATACAATGGAAAACTACTCAGACATAAAAAGAAATGAATCCATGGCATTTGCAGAAACCTGGATGAGATTGACGACTATTATTCTAACTGAAGTCACTCAGGAATGGAAAATCAAACATCATATGTTCTTACTCATAAGTGGGAGCTAAGCTGAGAATGCAAAGGCATGAGAATGACACAATGGAATTTGGGGACTAAGGGGGAAGTGTGGGAAGGGGGTGAGGGATAAAACACTGCTCACTGGGTGCAGTGTAGACTGCTCGGGCGATGGGTGCACCAAAATCTCACAAATAACATTAAAGAACTTACTCATGTAACCAAACACCACCTGATCCCCAATAACTACAGAAATAAATTTTTAAAAAATAAAAAATTCTAAAATTAATGTGGAATATCAAGTAAACCTCCATAGCCAAAACAATTTTGGAAAAGAACAAAATTGAAGAAATCACATCTCCTGATTTCAAAACATATTACAAAGCTACAGTTATCAAAATAGAGTGGTTCCTATGTGAAGACAGAAATATAGGCCAAGGGAATGAATTGAATAAAGTACAGAAACAAACCTCTGTGTATACAGTCACATGATCATTGACAATGGTGTGAAGACCATGCCATGGCACAAGTACAGTCTCTTCAGCAAATGGTATTGGGAAAAATGAATATCCACATGCAATGGAATGAAATTGGATACATATCTTACATCATACACAAAAATTGACTCAGAATGGATTAAAGACCTAAACATAAAACCCAATACTATAAAATCCTCCAAAGAACAGGTAACAAATCTTCAGTGGATTTGGCAATGGTTAATTGGATATGGTGAGGGAATGTAGTCACTTCCTGGGTCCACACGTGGAGTAGTTTCAAAGGCAGGAACTTCCCAGCAACATGGCCTACCTGCCTTCACCCACGTCTCCATCTGGGAGACTTAGAGGCTTTGGTAACTTTTCACATGCAGGAAGAAATCAAAGATCAATCACTCTAACGGGAGTTTGAAGGAACTCCTTTCATAGGACAGAAAATTTGTAATGGGGCAGGAATTACCCCCAAATTAAAAGTCCCCTTCCCCCACGTTGGTGCAGACTCTATATCTGGATCCCCTTCCACGACATGGTGGAAGCTGCTCTCTGTATTTCTTTCTTTCTCCTTTTTCTCTCTGCCTAAATAAATCACTTTCTGCAGACTTTTTGGGGTCCGATAATTACTTATGAGCGCACCGTGCCTGGCAGTGTCCTCTACCTCATTCTTGGGTGAGTGAGGAACCAAGGGTCTGGAAGAACACCATCTTATTGGGGAGCAAGCTGAGTCTTCCCGGTGTCTCCATACCCAGTCTCAATGACACCAACAGTATGGGCAACAAAAGCAAAGGTAGGCAAATGGGACTCTCTCTAACTTAAAATATTTGCTCCTCAAAGAACACAATCAATGGGATGAAAAGGCAACCTACACGATTAGAAAACATTTGCAATTTACACATCTGATATGAGGTTCACATCCAGAATATAAATATATCCCTGTATGAATATACCACATTTTATTTCCCCACTCACCAATTCATGGACAGGTAGATGGTTCCACTTCTTGGCACATGAGAATAATGCTGCTACAAATATTGTCATACAAGTTTTTATGCGACATATATTTTCAGTTCTCTTAGGTAGTTACCCAAGAGTGGAATTGCGTGGTTGCATGGTAACTCTACAAGGAAAATTAGAGGAACTATTTTTCAAAGTAGTGGCATGATTTTTCATTCTCATCACCAATGCCCAAGGGCTCCCATTTCTCCACATCCTCATCAGTGTTTCTCATTGTATTCTCTTTGTAGCAATTGTGAATGGGAGTTTGTGCTTGATTTGTCTCTCTGTTTGTCTGTTATTAGAGTATAGGAATGCTTGTGACTTCTGCACATTGATTTTGTATCCTGAGATTTTGCTGAAGTTGCTTATCCGTTCCAGGAGATTTTGGGCTGAGATGATGCAGTCTTTCAAATATACAATCACGTCATCAGCAAATAGAGACAATTTGACTTCCTCCTTTCCTGATTGAATACCCTTTCTTTCTTTCTCTTGCTTGATTGCTCTGGCTAGAACTTCCAGTACTGTATTGAATAGGAGTGGTGAGAGAGGGCATCCTTGTCTAGTGCCAGATTTCAAAGGGAATGCTTCCACTTTTTACCATTTAGTATGATATTGGCTGTGGGTTTGTTGTAAATATCTTTTATTATTTTGTGATATGTTCTGTTGATAACTAGTTTATTGAGGGTTTTTAGCAGAAAGGGCTGTTGAATTTTGTCGAAGACCTTCGATGCATCTACTGAGATAATCATGTGGTTTTTAGAGAGAACGCAAACATATGGAAAAGCATTCTATGCTCATGGTTAGGAAGAATCAATATCGTGAAAATGGCCATACCACCCAAAGTAATTTATAGATTCAACACTCTCCCCATCAAGCTACTGATGACCTTCTTCACAGAACTGGAAAAAACCTCTTTAAACTTCATATGGAACCAAAAGAGAGCCCACATAGCAAAGATAATCCTAAGCAAAAAGAACAAGCTAGAGGCTTCATGCTGCCTGACTACAAACTACACTACAAATCTACAGTAATCAAAAC